AAAAAACAAAAGGCTCAAGAGATCCGCTAAGAAGCAAAAGAGACACGGTTAATCTCTCGATAGCCTTGATCGAAAATACACGATTGAGAGAGTGAAGAATGACTCCAAATTCGGGAAAATCCGGATTAATTTCGAGCAAATATTCCTCACTAAGAGAAGACATAAATGTGTTTCCTCTTAATGAGGAATCTTCTATCGGTGGAAAAGAATACGTTTCCTTAGTGAGAGAGGACCTTCAAGGGACGAGTGGATAAAACCACTGAACACTGGTAGTTGTCATGGTTATTTCCAGTTTTCTTTACGTGTCTAACACCTGAATAGGAGATATTATCCAATAGAAAGTCCTTCCGGAAACTACCACCCTTAGCAGATCGTCCAATCCCGTTGTGAAAGACGTATATTCACATTTCGATCCGGAGGAATCTATGCTGGAATTCAATGAGGAGATACTTCTGAGTCTCCTCGTTTATGAATCTCGAAATCCATGGAATACAAATATAAATTAATCTTAGTGAGGGATCTCTTTCCAAATTCGTCAGTTCTCGGAATCATCCGAAAAACAATTTCAGAAAAGATTGACTTTTGTGGAATTTCACTAGACGTACTTAGACGTACATGAATCAAATATCCACATTGAATGAGAATTTAAAAATAAAAAATAAGTAAAAAACAAATGTATTCTTACTCGATTTTTTTGATAATTTGCCATAATTGCATCCCGGGATTGAGAAAGTTTAATCTGTTGTTCTTGTAACTTCATAAAATGATGTCTTTTCAATTCTTTGACATTTTTACTATTTTTCAGTTTATTTGATATACTTTCCGCTTCATTTTTGGCATTTTGTAACTTTAAAATAATAAAATTTAGTAAGTATAATTATATAACTAGTGCGTTTTAAGTAATTGTATTATAAATGTAGCAAATAAGTGTAATAAGTGTATTGATGAATGACGCTGGATGGACGAAGCCATTAAGGCTTGGGCCTACTGGCTNGCCTTGCTTAAAAAAGGTCCCGTTGAACGGAAAGAGTTCAAAATAGCATAGTATTTGACGACCGGATGGTCGTCAAATACTATGCTATTCTGGGTACCCAAGGAATTTCCATGGGTGGTTCGTCACGTAAATATCGGCCCGATATTTCCGTGACGAACGGTCGCTTTCGTAGTAGACCCGACCAAAATCACAATGGTAAAAGGCCCCTTTAGTGCCTACAGAGTGGAAAGTTAAAAATAAAATACAAGGTATACAGTAGTATTAATTAATTGTAACTATAATTATACCGCATTTAACAGTATCATATATTCTCTATTGAACGCGATTGTATTTATTTCTGATTTCTTCAATTGTTTTTGAAAAGTATCCTTTTGTAATCTTTCTCGTTTTAAACTGTTTTGAAGCGCTTCTTCTTTATTTTGACTAATTTTTAAATAGCTCGTTTCGTTTTCTTTTCCTACTTTGGCTTTTTTTATTTCCTATAAGAACAATATAAATTATTAAAATTAAAATTGCAATCGAAATTTACGTATTTGAACGAAATACTTGCTTTGTCTAAATTTATATTCTGTTTTCTCAAATCTTCTATGCTGTTTTGAAACTCAAAGCATACTTTTTTCAATGATGCAATTTCTTTGGATTTTTTCGACATAACAGATTGTTTCATTTCGTTCCATTTATCTTTCACTTCTTTCTTATGTTCCAAGTAAGATATATTCTTCTCAATTACGTACACTTCTTTATTTTGATTATTAATTTGTTCTTTTAGAATTTTCATTTCATCTTCTTGATCCTTTAACGTTTAAATATTTTATTTTATAAATTAAGTTCTAGTAAATTCTGATTACACACTAAAGATTATCCAAAGCGGTCCCTAACACAAGAGGGCATTAACATAAAACATTAGCAAATTTAGACCTAACTTAATGAGCACACCAGTGACCGAGTGATCATTGAATACTGATCGCATTCTATACTTGTAATATAATTTAAGAGAAATGTTCTATTTTCTACCATTTCTTCTCTCAGATACACTTCTACTCAGTTAGAGAGAATAGTTGATTAGTTAATTTGTTTGATAGAATATGGCAATGCAATTTGCCAACGAAGAATGCCAACCAGGAAGACTTTCCTTGAGAAACTGGGCCCTATTTTGTTACGAGACACGTGAACTATACTGTACATAGCTAGTGAGTTTCGAACCCACAACTTACGTTTAGTGTTTTTATCCACTCGACAATTGGTGAGCAACGAGAATAAGAAAA